GGGGAAAAAATATCCTGGAAAAAAACAGGGAAAAAAGATCCTGAAAAAAGTGGGGGGAAAGATCCCAGAAAAAATGGAGGAAAAGATCCCCAAAAAAGTGGGGGAAGAGATCCTGAAAAAGCGGGGGAAAGATCCCAAAAAAAGCAGGGGAAAAGATCCGCAAAAAAGCAGGGAAAAAGATCCCGGAAAAAGCAGGGAAAAAGATCCCAGAAAAAGCATGGAATAAAGATCCAAAAAAACCCACATGTAAGAACTGCCCCGGGTCAGCGTGGAGGATTCCCCGTGTGAAAAATGTGTGTTAAAGGTGTGAAAAATGCGTGTTAAAGGTGTGAAAAGTGCGTGTTAAACGTGTGGAAAAATGCATGTTAAAGGTGTGAAAAATGCATGTTAAAGGTGTGAAAAATGCATGTTAAACGTGTGGAAAAATGCATGTTAAACGTGTGGAAAAATGCATGTTAAAGGTGTGAAAATGCATGTTAAACGTGTGAAAAATGCATGTTAAAGGTGTGGAAAAATGCATGTTAAAGGTGTGAAAATGCATGTTAAACGTGTGAAAAATGCATGTTAAACGTGTGAAAAATGCATGTTAAAGGTGTGAAAAATGCATGTTAAAGGTGTGAAAAATACATATTTTATGATTGGCTTTTGGCAAATATTAAATTGAATACTATATGTATTTTGTTATATTGATTAGCGGTGCCGCATTAACATTTTAATAGCACGGTAAATGTGGTTTTGTGGTTAAAATGAAGCTTTAATAGTTAAAATAGAACTTTTATTGTTTAAATTGAAATTTTAATAGTGAAAATCGAAACTTTAATAGTTAAAATCGAAACTTTAATAGTTAAAATCGAAACTTTAATAGTGAAAATCGAAACTTTAATAGTGAAAATCGAAATTTTAATAGTTAAAATGAAGCTTTAATAGTTAAAATAGAAACTTTACTAGTGAAAATCGAAACTGTGTATGTGGGTTTGTTTTTTTTAAGGAATGAGACACTCACTGCGAGATAACACAGAGCCCCTAAATCCTAAATATTTCTATTTAAAGAATAAAAGAAGAGGAATTGATGCTTCTCTTACCAGAAATTATTTCTTCGGGCCTTGCTCAGACTCGAAGACACCGCGGGGATTAAAAGAAGCAGAAATATAGACAGAGGTTTTTGTTTTAAATGGAATTTATGCATAACCGTGAAATATGTATGAATATGCAAAATAATTATTCCTTTGCTCACAAAACATATTTTTCATGGCTTAAGTTCCTGAGAGCGTCCAGGCGTCCGTAATTCTTTGATTTGTATTGTCTTGTAATTGTCCTCACTCTAAATTTTTATTACTCTAAATTGTATTGCTATTTTTCTGACCATTTTGTCATTATGAAACTTTTAACATTTTAAAA